GAGACTAGGACACTACTGTGAACGCAGGTGTGCATAGACACACTCCAGAACTTGATTTCCTACTGTGAACACAGGTGTGCACAGACACACTCCAGAACCTTATTTCCTACTGTGAATGCAGGTGTGCACAGACACACTCCAGAACCTGATTTCCTACTGTGAACGCAGGTGTGCACAGACACACTCCAGAACCTTATTTCCTACTGTGAATGCAGGTGTGCACAGACACACTCCAGAACCTGATTTCCTACTGTGAACGCAGGTGTGCACAGACACACTCCAATTCAATTCTTTTGTGTATAGATCTAGGAAAACAATTTTTGGATCATATGATTCTTTTTTAATTTGTTTTTTGAGATAGGTTCCTAGTTTGCAGTCCTGGCTGTCTCAGAATTTGTTATATTGACCAGGCTGACCTTGAACTCATGGAGATCTGCTTGCCAATCTCTGTGATTAAAGGTGTGTGCCACCGTGCCCCACTGTTGTATTTTTAACTATTTTCTTTAATGTGAGGTCTTACTGTGTTGTCCAGGATAGCCTTGAACTGTGAACTCCAAGGATTGCAGGCCTAGATCATACATGTAGGTCATTGGCTTTATCATTTTTAATCTTTCAAGGATGTGCTGTGCTGTGTTTTGTTAGGATTATAACATTTAATTTTTTTCTGTGAGCTATGGCTGGGGACTCCAGGTTCTCCAGTTTCCCCCAATACTTACCATTTGCTGTTTGGGATATCATAGTAGCTATCCTAATAGCAATGAGTGGGGATCTGACTGTGGGTTGTCTCTGGGCTCCTGGGCATTGAGCCCCAAGTTCTCATAAATGCCAGCAGGTACTCTGCTACTGAGCCAAGCCCCCAGGCCTCACCATAGCTCTGGTTCACACTTCCCTAATGATCATTTTGTGTGCTTGTTTGTATTCACCGAATTGAACTGGGTTATTTGAACTGGTTTTTGTTCCTTTGCATGTTAGCCCGGACCAGGTATGTGATCTGCTAATCTCCTAGTCTGCCTTTTCAGACTCCTGAGTGCTTCCTGTGATAGTTGTGTTGTTGTCTAATCCAGTTTATTGGGACTTTGGTCACTTTTGATAATGCTTCCCAGAAACAGTTGTCAAATCCAGTGCCACGAGGCTGTTCTCTTTTGTTTGCTTAAGGGTTTTATAGTCTCAGCTCTTCTGAGTCTGGTCTGCTTTGAGTTAACCCTTGTGTGTGGTGTGGCTGTGAGGGGCCACGTCTTGCTTGACATGTAGCTGTTCTGCTTCTCCAGCAGCACTGGTTGTTGGAAGGCATTTGGCCCTACACACAAGGGTTTGTTTCTGGGCTTCCCATTTGTTCACTGGCCTGTCTGCCAGCCCAGTACTAGTGTCGATTGCTGGAGCTTCCCAGCACCTTTTGAAATGAGGCAGTGGGAGACCCTCAGTTTGGTCTCGGTGGTTCTTTTGTTCAGAATCCTTGAGATCTGTAGGAATTTTATGATTTTTATTTTCTATTTCTGCTAAAAACATGCTGTTGGGCTGGGATTAAACATGATTACTTTAAAAAGGTGAGGGGGGGTGGATACAAGGGAAGGTGATGACTGTGTGCCTAGTGTTAATCCTTTAAAAATGGCTTCAGTGTGTAATCTAAGCTACTGAGTGACCGGGGCCACCCGGTTCTTCTTCTGTCCCCAATTTTTCATCTGGAAACAATTTTAATGAGAAGTCACAGCAGTGGTGCAGTGACCTCTTCATCTCACACCTCCACTGACACCAGCATTTTGCCAGACCCTACTCCGCCCCTCCTCCCTGTTCCCACACCTGCTCTGTTGTTCACACCTGCTCTGTGGTTGAGCGTGTGTAAGCACACTTTGCTGAACCATTGGAAAGTAAGTCAAGATCATCGTGATCCTTGAGATGAATGAAATCCAGCTTCTACCACAAATAATGGTATGATATGGATCTAGGGAAATACCTTTGTTTTCAAAACAAACAATGCCATAACTATGATACCATACACCTGCAAGGGATTCAGTACCAGCACAGTGCTTTCTAGTAAGTGAACTCTGTCACAGCCTGGATGAATGGACATGTCTTCCTTCATGAAGCCCACTCTCTGATCTGGGAGCCGGTCTGTGGTCTCTTGTCTAATGCAGATGCTCCTACCTCTGGTAGTGGGGAGCAGGCCCTGCCCTCCCTTTTTGGCTGTGAGCCAGTGGTGTTTGTTTGCCAGTTGTTCTAGATGCTCCTACCTCTGGTAGTGGGGAGCAGGCCCCGCCCTCCCTTTTTGGCTGTGAGCCAGTGGTGTTTGTTTGCCAGTTGTTCTGATTGTCTTGTAGCATGTGCTCTTTCTTTCCTGTATTTGGATTCTAGTGTCCTGTGTGTGAATAGCTCAGCTCATGTGATGTCTGTTTCCCTTGAGTAGCATCAGAAGGCCCGTGACACATTGGTCTTGTTACTGGTGTAGTTTGATCATCACTTGGCTGTCATAGTGCCCACTATGGTGCCCTCCTTCTCCCTCTGCTGCAAAGTCATTTTCCGACTCCATAAATGGGACTGATCCATTGATCAGTCCGGTATTCTGTTTCCTCAAACCTTTTACATAACTGGAATCATTTATTATTCAGGGATTGGAAATGGTGATTTTCTTAATTTCTTCATTTGTTAATTGATATTCTTCTGTGAAAACAAGGATTTTCTTTCATTATACATCTAAATACAACACATATAATACAACACGAAATATCACCTGTGTGTTTCTTTCCCCAGGGTCTCACGTAGCCCAGGCTGGCCTGGGACTTAGTATGTACCTGAGGGTGACCTTAAACGTCTGAACCATACCCGACCCTTTCTATAGGTCTTCTTTTAGAAGAGTATCAGCTTGAAGAGATGAGAAGGAGCTCACCAATTGGGCATGATATCAGCTTCTAATTTCTCGGTTTTAGAAGCTTTAGTTTTACTTCTGTGTATGCACGTGTGTCTGTGTGGGTGTGTGTAATGTGAGTGCACGTGTCTGAAGAGGCTGCGGGTGGTGTCGCAGGTGTGGGTGTTGGGACTAAACTCCCCTGCATGGGTTTTACATGCTTCTACCTGCCAAGCCATCCCTCCAGGCCTTCTGCTTGCTTAGTTTGCTCAGAGACCACACAGTGGGCTGCAGTTGCCAGCGTCCTTGGAGGATGCTGTGACTGAGGAACGAAGGAACTGCAGTCTCTGTCCTCCTTTTCTCTTTCTTTCTTTCTTTCTTTCTTTCTTTCTTTCTTTCTTTCTTTCTTTCTTTCTTTCAAGATTTATTTCAGCTTTCTGTGCAGGAGTGTTTGAGTGCATGCATGTTCATGCATCAAGTGTGTTCCTGGTGCCCTCGGAACCCAGAAGATATCAGATCCCCCCGGAACTGGAGTTGCTGCTCTGCCCACTGAGCCATCTCTCCAGCCTGTCTCCTTTTAATGTGGCCTTCACTCCTTGTTCTGCAGGGACACCCTGGGGAAATGCTTCTTCCTCCGAGTGGAAATTACTCTCCGAGGAGCTACTTATAGGATTTCCTTTAGTGACACAGACCAGTTACCACCTCCTTTCAGAATTGACAACTTCTCCAAGGTACCAAGTGCTTCTGAGGGCTGGCGGCTGACATGGGCAGGGTGGAAGGTCATGGTGCAGTACACACATGACACTCACTAAAACTCTGTGGCCTCGAAACCCCTCCTTACTGCTATTATCGTTTGATTTCCTAATTTATTTCATGTCTGAGCGTTTTGTCTGCATGCATATGTGTATGCCTAGTGACTTTAGAGGGCATTAGATCCCCTGGAACTGGAGTTATGGATGGTTGTGAGTCACCATATGAGTGCTGGGAATCGAACCCAGGTCATTGGCAAGAACAAGTGCTTTTAATCCCTGAATCATCTTTCCAGCCACTTCTGCCAATTATTGTGGTCACTAACCTGCCTCATCCAAACTTATTTTGACTGAAAATTTGGTTGACACAGTGCTCTCTGTAGACATGCTCTGCAGGCAGAGACAGGGGTCAGATTGTTCAGAAAGAATTGAGTGGGTACACTGCTATTGCACAATTACAGTGAACATTTTTATAATCCTAAATGTTAATCAGAAGGTTTTGGTTTTATTTTATTTTATTTTTTTATTTTTGTGTGTGTTTGGCTGTGTGAGTGCCATAGTGGACATGTTAAGGCCAAAGGACAATGTTCAGGAGTTGGTTTTCTTCCACCGTGTGGTTCCTAGGGGGTCAAACTCAGGTCATTAGGCTTGGCAAAATGTACCCTTATCTGCTGAGCCATCTCCTTGGCTTGAAAGATTCCATTTTAAGTTACTCTTTCAAATTATGTCTTAGAGTGTAAAAGCTTTTGTAGCTGGTGTCCAGACCACCATTTCTTCCGTATTCAGACATCCATCCACAGGGAACTAGAATAGCAAAGATACCATTGAAACAATGGAATTGCTGTCTTAGATATTTTGGCACAGCCTCTTTAAAATTGATTGTTTTTATATTTTTATTTGTGTGTGTGTATTACATATCAGTACCTACAAAGGTTCACATGTTGTATTTCCTGGAGCTGCAATAATAAGCAGTTGGCAGTGGTCCTTGCCTTCCAGAAGCAGTTCTGTGGAATCCCTAAGATGGCCCTCAAAAGCATTGTCTCCTCACTAGTCATTCCTCCCTCGAGTATTCATCTGGGAAGATGGGAGCTTCTACCTCGGGCTGGCTGGCTCACTCTCCAGGAACACTGCCCTGAACAAGGCCCTCTGCCCTCTAGGTTCCTGTTGTCTTCACTCAGCATGGTGTAGCTGAGCCCCGGCTGCGGACTGAAGTGAAGCCCATGACGTCACTGGATTATGCCTGGGATGAGCCGACCCTCCCACCCTTCATCACGCTGACCGTTAAGGGGGCAGGTTCCTCCGAGATCAACTGTAACATGAACGACTTCCAGAATAACCGACAGCTGTACTATGAGAATTTCATTTACATCGCTGCCGCGTACACGTTCTCTGGGTGATTCTGGACTCAATTACTATTCATGCAAAGCAGAGTGTTTTAACTATTCACTGATTTTAAATTTTAAGCAGTTTCTGAAGAGACAAGTCTCAGCAGATCCCTTCTTTACCACACCCCAGGCTCAGGGTCTGCTTGATAGTCTAATCCTTGTCCTCACCTGTAGTAGCTTGATTTCCCCTGAGCCTAGACTCATTGTTTTTTATTTTTTAATTTTCCTTTTGAGACAGGGTTTCTCTGTGTAACAGTCTTAGTTGTCTTGGAACTCACTCTATAGACCAGGCTGGCCTTGAACTAACAGAGATTTGCCTGCCTCAGACTCCCAAGTGCTGGATTAAAGGTGTGTGGATGACACCCCTACCCACCCCCCAGTGGCAACAGTTTTTACTTCTTTAAAGAGCTCCCCCAGGGACTGAGCCTATTATGCAACACTGACAAGTCCCTTCCTGGATCTTGAATTCCTCCAGTGTTTGTCTTGACATTGGGCTGGTAAGGTTTGTTTGTGGGTTGTTCCTATGGCACTGACTAATGTGACCTTGTTAAGGGTTAGTGCCTGAGAAACTAGTTCAGTCTAGTTGTGAGTCCCACTTGCTGTTTGTTTTCTGTAAGTTCCAGCAACCACTGAGCTCTTTAAAGAGAGATCCCTAATGGGGACCACGAGCTCTGAAGTGAGTGTGTGAAGCTGGGAGGGGGAGAAGCTCTTGGGAACCCAGTCATAGAAGGAACCCAGGCCTTGTCGGGGTGCTGGGAGTTGGAAGCAGCTTTTGGTGTATACTTGATGCTGTTGGTGTGCATTCTAATTAATAATGGAGAAGAAAGGAGCGTTTTCTTTAATCTTTATTTGAGCTCAGGCTCATGTAAGAGGAAGTTACCATTTCAAACTGAATAGTTGGTGGCGTTGAGTACCGTTTCGATCATCACAGCTCTTGTCATCACTGCTGATTTCACCAACACATTTTGTTGTTCTTAAAAGAGCCTCTGCTGGCACTGTCCTTCACCCCTCCCCCCAGACCTCAGCAACCACTAGTCTGCTTCCTGTTCCTGTGGGCGTGGCTAGCTGGGTAGTCCATGTAGTCCTGATCACCCCAGGGACCTTCTCTGTCTGGCATGTTTCACTTAATGTCATGTTTTGGGTTCAGCCATATTGAGGCTTGTGACTCTGCTTTTATGAAATGTGTTCAGTCTGCATGAGCCTGAGAAATGCTCTGTGCTATGTCCTCGCCTGCCTCCCTGTCTATCTGCCTGTCTGTCAGTTTGTCTGTCAGCAGGCATCTCAGCTTTGCAGATTGTTTTCCCATTTTGTGGCTTGGCTGTTTTTGGAAGGTATCATTTAAAGAACACATTTTTTTTTTTCATTTCAGTGAAATTTAATTCGTTGAATTTTGTTTCACTTTTGTCACATGTGCTTTTGATGTCCAGGTGACTAATTTTTAACCGAACTCATCAGTACTTTTTGTAATAGTAAAGATTGATGGAAACAGGCGAATGATATAAATTAAATGTTATTCAGGCATTATGCATGCCCTACAAGGCGAGAGGCTCTAGAATAGCTCAGTGGGTACATGCTTTACTCACAAGCATGAGCTCCTGAATTAGGAGTCCCGTACTCTTATGGAAAGCTAAGAGCAGTGGCCAGTGCTTGTGACCCCAGCTCTGTGGGCAGAGATGGGCAGGTCCTGGGCCTTGCTGCTAGCCAACCTAACTGAACCAGTGAGTCCCAGGTCTAATGAGAGACCCTGTCTCAAATCATAAGGTGCAGAGTGGTAGAGACAACACCCAGTGTTTACTTCTGACCTCCAAAGCACACAAACAGTGAGCCCCTCCTCCCATGTATATACAACCTGCAATATCCCACACAGATAATAATATAAACAAAACCCCAAGCTGAGCAACATCCAAAAATTTGGGATTTTTAATCACAGGGAAGTACTACAGGGAGAAGGTAACTATTGGCCCATTGGATTCTTTTCATCCTGAAAGGACTTTTCCATTTCTTGCCAAGACTTGGGAGTGCGATGGTGCTGATGCTCTGTCTGGCAGAGCAGAGCATGGCTGTGCCCTTGGACATCTGCCTTGGGCTTACCACCCTCCCTTAAAGATTTATAGCTGTCGTTTCATGTCTAAATTTTGTGCCACTTAAATTAGAGGAGAGGGAAAATAGAGTTTTGTGTTTTTACAGATGAACCCTGAATTGTGCAGGAGTACAGGTAGCTCTAAGCCTGTGTGTGCTCTGTCAGGCTTTCTTCTGTATTTCATGGGTTCTGTTGGTTTATTTGTCTCTTTTGACCGGAGTCTCTTCTGTATAGCCTGGGTTCTCTTTGTACTTGCCCAGATGACAGGCAGGGGCCAACTTTCTTGTTTGTTAATAGAGATTTATGCTATACTCATGTGCCCATGTGTATACATACATACATTTGTGTGTGTGTGTGTGTGTGTGTGTGTGTGTTGCTCATGTGCCTGTGTGTATACATACATACATTTGTGTGTGTGTGTGTGTGTGTGTGTGTGTGTGTGTGTGTGTGTGCGCGCGCTCATTTATTTCATCTTAGTTTGCAGGAGGGGAAAGGAAGGCCTGTAGCTTCCCACAAGGCAGTTACCTGTGCAGAACTTGTCTTGGATGTGTCCCCCAAAACACAGAGAGTCATCCTAAAAAAGAAGGTAAGAACTCAGAGGCTGGAGCTGAGAGTCCGGGCTCAAGGTCATTTACTCCCAAGAGTGTTCGGCACTGGAGGCAATGGGTTGGGAGCCCTGGAGGCTCTGGCTTTCCCTCCTGTTGTAGTCACTGTATTCATGCTGGCTGCTGGACCCCAAGCCTTCTCATGCCCAGGACTTTCTGGAAAGTGGACAGTCCTGAATCTGTGATTCCTGGTTATGTGACTGTGTTAGGGAGGCAGCATTACAGAATAGTTAAGGGGCTCTGGGATTGGACAGGGTTAGGGTTACAATTGGTCACACTGCTCACTAGTTGTGACAGCATAGTGAAGTGACTTCTCACCAAGGCGTAACTTCCTCATCCGTAAGGACAGTGACAGCATGAATCTTGTTGGATTCTTTTCATGGTTAAATGAGTTACTGTACCAAGGCCTGACCTACAGCCGGTTCTCAATAAAGTGTTAGTACTATAGTATATAATGGATTATATAAATTTCCTTGACTGACCCTGACTGACCTAGAAGCCTAATTGCAGTATTTAAGTATTCTAGCAAAGAAAATGCATTGAAAATTAGAAACAGTCAATTGGAAATAACCTTTAAATGCAACCAAATTAACAATTGATTAAAGTCAATGTGTAAATATTGAGATGGTAAGCACTGGACATAGTGAGAGCTGCTGCTGTCCCTACTCTGGCAGTTTACAGGGATGCCAGAGACGGTGGTGTATACTCGCATGTATTCTTGTGTAATTAGACTCCTCTGGACTAAAGACATCTGAGATCTTCATATGGAACAGTGGTAATCATGGCAGTATAGCTAGGTGAGAGGTTGCCCAGCCATTGGCTTCTGATTTTGTTTTTTAAGAGGAAAAATAGTAGGTGCATAAGTTACGAAAATGTCTTTTAATCATACATGTGCAAATCTGCATGTGGGCATGTGGACTTATCAGTGCTTTGCCTGTGGAATCCAGAAAAGGTCCTTAGACCCCCTGAGAATTATCCTCAGATTCCCACACACATGCACCATTGGATACCCATGCTGGCACTCAACATACACACATACACACACACACACACTGAAATAAAAGATGAAAAAGAGTTTAGCATACTTCATCTTAGTCTAACTAGAAATGCACAATAATGAGATCTTTAGTTGGGTATTTCTTTGATGTGGAAAACTAAGTCCAGTTCCAACTGGAGAACCTCCTAGGCCCTTAGAGGGGGCTTGTGAGGGACAGAGCTGGCTGTGGCCACATCTTTGTGTATCTGTCTGTCAGGAACCAGGAAAGCGCTCTCAGCTCTGGAGGATGACGGGTTCGGGAATGCTGGCCCACGAGGGCTCTGCAGTTCCTCACAACCCCAACAAGCCCTCAGCAACACGATCCATCGAGGGGTCTGCCATCTTGGATATTGCTGGCCTGGCTGCTGTGACAGACAACAGGTAATCTGATGGGTAACTTCCTAGTCAGGCTTATTGCCTTCAAATTCAGACTCAAGAAATTTGCCCCTTAAAAGAAGAGTTCTGTAAACCCTCCTGATAATTTGTGGGTGTTTTTTTGTTTGTTTTTTTTGCATTTTTTCTTAATGACTGATGCCTGTCAAATTCTCAGATATCATTTAATTTTAAAAATTATTGTGATATTACCCATCCATGCAGGTGTTAAAGAACAAATTATAAGATCTTTTATAGAAAATGAATATTTACTAAGAATTCCAGTCTACCCTTGCTTGTAAAAGTGAACAGTTTCTGTTCTTAAGTTTTTCTTTTCTTTTGGGTTTTTTGTTTTTGTTTTTGTTTGTTTGTTTGTTTGTTTGTTTGTTTTTGAGACAGAGTTTTTCTGTGTGTAGTTTTTTTAATAATTTGTTGTCTTTTGAGAAGAATTAATTTTCTGGGCAGTGGTGACATACACTTTTAATATCCCAGCACTTAGGAGGCTGAGGCAGACAGCTTTCTGTGAGTTCAAGACCACCCTGGCCTACAGAGTTAGTTCCAGGACAGCCAAGGCTATGTCTCAAACGGTGTGGGGGGAGAGAATTAATTAATTTAATAGCATTATTGAGACATGTTTTTATGGGTAACTCTCTGGACTGTTGACATGAGTTGTGAGTTACATTAGCTTAAATAGGTTACTTTGTTTGCCATATATTTGTTTCTCCATAGAATCAGGGTTTGTTTTCGAGTGCTACCTCATTTATTTCCAAAAGTGTGAAAATTAAGACACAGTAAAAGTATTTAGGAATAGAACAGTGGTGACAGTTGAGAAAATTTTAACTATTGGGCAGATAACTGCTTCCAAGTGCAAGATGGCCTGTCCCATGAGACTGCAAACACCTGTGTTGTGGGTCTCCATTCTTTTGACTTTCCTCATGTCGAGGCTCAACTGGGATACCCATCAAATTGCAGAGAGGGGGTGCTGGAAGGCAGAGGGGCAGAGCCTCAGGATTCGACTCAGAGGAGTCATTGTGTGTCTCTGTCCAGATATGAGCCTTTGATGCTGAGAAAGCCAGACCGCAGGCGCAGCACAACACAGACATGGAGCTTCCGAGAAGGAAAATTGACCTGTGGCTTGCATGGGCTGGTCGTTCAGGTCAGTTGCTTTTGACACCCTCAGTTGTAGCTCCCAGGTGTTGAACTTTTTCAAAATAAAGCATTACCTAGGTTATACATGATGAATTATGGGAAAATTAATCAGAGAGCAGTACTCTCTAGTTACTCCATTTTTGTTAAAGGAAATCAAGAAACTTGCTGTGTATCTGTGCGTTGCTACATAGGAAATGCTCCTAATTGAAACAGAATCACATCACCTTCCCCCTTCCGTTTCCCTGCTGCAGCTACCTTCCCTCAAACCCCTCTCATGCTCCCCCACTTTCAAGTTGGCAGCCTCTTTTTCTTTGATTATTGTTACATGCATACATACATATGTATGTGCATAAGTGCGTATAAATGCAGCCTGCTGAATGCACTTTTGTTCTGTGTGTGTCCTTTTAGGGCGGGCCACTCTTCATAGAACACTGGTGTAGGTGGCTCATCTCTGGGGACCAAGTCTCCTTCTCCCTGTAGCCGTCTGTTGCCCCTCCCATGTTGACATGATCATTGATATTCCCATTTTATGCAGCCATTTCTAAGAGCGATTGTCATGGCAGGATTCATGGCTCTTATAACCCTTATAATCTTTCTACCCCACAGCGCCTGCATCTATGGCTCAAGATTTATTTTAGTTTAATTATGTGTGTCTGTGTGCACCTGTGTGTGGATATGTGTACATCAGAGTGCTGGTACCTGTAGAGTTCAGAAGAAGGTGTCAGATTCCTTGGAGCTGGAGTTATAGGTGGTCGTATGCTACTTGACATGGGTGCTGGGAATTGAAATTGGGTCCTCTGCAAAAGCTACAGGCATACTTAACCACTGAACCTTCCCTCCAGCTCCATAGGATCTGTTCTTGAAGGTATGTTGGAAGTAGCTGTCCTGGGTGATGGCTTCCCCTCTCCCCCACTTCTGACACCAGCTAAAGTGGAATGCAATTAATGCAGATGGCAATGGAGTCAGAACTAGTTTGAAAAACAGATGGTTTATTAGGAAGTACTCACGCGATGGAGCCAGTCCTGTACAGCCAGGCGAGAGAGGGAACAGAGAGCTGCATGTGTTTGTCCCTCATATTTAAAGCCTTGCTACGTCACTCTGACCACACCCAAGTGTGCATGGTCAGCGTCACCTGTGCCAGCCCCCAAGTGAGCATGGACAGCGTCTCCCCCTACATCCTTCTGTTCTTAGTTTCTCTGAACTTTTTTCCCTGGTGACATAAATTAACTTTTTAAATGAAGGAGAAAAAAAAGTATCTGTTAAAAGACTAAGATAATACTTAGTGGGTACTAAGAGAACTACAGTTCTCTTCTGTAAAGTGTGGGAGCCAGTCATGAGCTGTACATGATTGTCCTCGTCATCAGTGTTGTCTTCTTTCTTCGCCTCTTCTTCTCCAATAGTTAGCTTGCCAGTATCCTTTTTAATTTTTTGAGGTCATATTGTAATTACATCAGTTTCCCATTTTCACCCCTTCAAACCCTCCCGGATCTTTCCCCTTTGCTCTCTTTCAAATTCATGCCTTCATTTTCTTTAATTGTTAAGTGTATGTATGCCTGCACACATGGGTATGTGTGTGTTTTACTCGTGTGTATATGTTTTCAAGGCTGGCCATTTGGCATTGTAAAGCCAATTGGTGTGTATACACGTTTTTTGATTTTGCTTATTGCTACATTCTTAGTGGTATCAAAGTTAGCATTTTGCTTTAGCAAATGTGGCAGTCAAGACTGCTAGACATTTTTCTTTGTCCTCAACTCAGCCAGCCTATAGCATAATAAATTTCCAGGGACTTTATCAGGGATTTAGATTTCTGCCCTTTCTCTCTTTGGGCTCAGTATGGGCCCCTGCATCTGAGGTGAACAGGTGAGAGGTGGAGGCTTGGGCACATAGCAGAGCAACACAGTGACTGTGTATGCAGGCCTGCCCACCGTGGGACTCATACAAAACTCAACTGTCCAGCAGCAGACCTGCAACAGTTAGTGTTTCTCTCCCTGGTGGAGTGAGACTGTCCTCTCCTATGGTGGTTTGTACAGCCATAAGAAGCCTCTTCTGTTTGGTGAGATTTATTTTCTTTACCTCTGTGGCCCTGAGCTTTTCTCATCAAAGGCCAGCTGCTTACTTATGTGAAGCTCACATCTGGAGTGGATTTGGGATTTTCAATTAGCAATACAATTCAGACTTCTAGAGGCAAAAGAAAGCTTGTTATAATTGGTGGGTTCCGGGTCTGACCCTGACTTTACTTGTAGGGTTTTTTTTTTTTTTTTAAAGCCCATGTAATTCCAATTTTCGTGGAGCATTTTCCTCCTGCCCAAATCCCTTTTTAATGTTTGTTGTTTCCTGGATCTGCCCACCATGTCTTTGCTGTGGATGTGTTTGGTTAGGGAATCGAGTTTGTTTCATTTCTATGCTAAATCCAGCAGTAGAAGGCTTGCAAACGCTTTCTGGCTTTCCCGTTCCAGGTTGTGTGTATGCTTTCTAAACTTACCCTTATGAAAAGCTTTCCTCGTATGGAAGCCTGTTCTAGATGCCTTTCATCACTCAGTACTTAAAATGAAAAAGATGGGTGGGCATGGTGACACCTACAGTCCCATCAAACCCAGGCGATGGGTTTGAGGCTGCCCAGGCAACAGAGCCCTGTCTTAAAAGCCAACACAAAGAAAGAGAAAGAATTGAAATATTTGTTCTCTCTAGCTGTGGTGTCCCTAAGGGCCTCACCCTGCCGACCTGCATTTTGTGTGGGAAAACAGCAGGACTATGACTTTTTCTAAAACTCACCAAACGTGTGCCAATGCTTATTACAATTTAGACGTGGCACTTACTTGGTTGTTTAGCCATCAGCTTGGGGGAAGCATTAGCTCTGGAACTGGCTTTTTAATTGGACAGCTGAGTGATTAGTAATCAGTTTTATAACAGTTAAGGTTTTTAGGCAAACCTCAATGATAATACCCAAGCAAAACTGATTTGGGCTACTTAGTAAACTTAGTTTTAGTGATGGAGATTTATTATAAGGTGGAGTAAAACCAAGCCACTTTGTTTGTGGGGTTACCTCCACGTTAACACAGTAAATGTACCTTGCCATTTTACACAGTCCTACCATTTTTTAGTCTGTTGGACTAACACACTGTGAGTCTCCACAGGAGAATTTCAGTTCATTTGTCTCCTAGGTACTATAGTGAATTGTCCAAGTCTTTGCTTTGGCCTTTTCTTGTATCTCTTTACTTTGACATCTTTTAGGCCAAAGGAGGGCTTTCTGGATTGTTTGATGGCGCTGAAGTTGTTCTTGGTCCTGACTCATCTGTTGAGCTGTTGGGACCAGTTCCACCAGAACAACAGTTTGTGAACCAAAAAATGAGACCTGGTTCTGGAATGTTGTCCATCAGAGTCATCCCCGATGGACCGACTCGAGCACTGCAGGTAAGAATTAGAAAGACTGATGAAGCTGTGTCTCTTCCTTCCCGTCACCATGGCCAGTCAGATATCTGCCGAGTGTACTCGTGCTGGCTGTGGACTGTGTGCTGCCCACCTTCTTAAGAAAGGGCTGCGTCTCCATTACAGAGTTGTGTAGGTGACCAAGTCCAAAAAGGCTCAGGAGTTAACCAGTCACGGAGGCCATTTCTCATACTCAGCACTCAAGAGGCTGAGGCAGGAGACTCTCGTGAGTTCAAGGTCAGCCTGGGCTACATCAGAAGACCTTTATCTCCAAAGTAGAAAAATGTCAATAGATAAGAAGAACACATAGCGGTATTCTCAGTGTAGTTAACTAGTACACTGATATTTTGAGTAACTGGTGTGTGGCCCTTTGTGAGGAGAGAGGAGCTTTCCCAGCCAGACAAGTGCAGTGCCTCGTCATGAAGGGAGGAGTGAAGGGTGCAGAAGAGACTGGGTTCTGAGGCTGAGGGAGCTCCCTGCACGACGGGATGCTCAAGCTGAGCACCACGTTAACAAAAGAGTGAACCTGGGGGAGAAGGCAAGGTGGAGGGGCTTTGCCGTGATGGGCATGTTCACAGAGAGGCCATTTGCTGAGCAGCTGTCGGGACCAGGCAGAGTTTCAGTAATAAGCATGTGACAGTGAGCACCCGGCTGATAAGAGATGAACTTAGTAAGTTATTATATCAGGGTCCTTAGAGGAGCAGGACTGCTAGAATGAGGATGTGTGTAGTTTCCTTCCTTCCTTCCTTCCTTCTTTCCTTCCTTCCTTCCTTCCTTCCTTCCTTCCTTCCTTTCCTTTCCTTCCTTCCGGAACAGGGTTTCTTTGTGTAACTCCAGCTGTCCTGGAACTCACTCTGGAGACCAGGCTGGCCTTTAACTCAGAGATCCTCCTGCCTCTGCCACCTGAGAGCTGAGATTAAAGGTGTGCGCCACTGCTGCCCCGCTATATATAAAGGGGTATTATTAGAGTGGCTGTCTCCCGCTGAAAAACCAAGAAGTTTGAGAGTTGTTAAGCCGTGAGGCTGTATGCCTCAGCTGGTCTTCAGTCTACAGTGTAATCCTGAAGGAGTAGGTTCTAACACCAGCGAAGGAATGCCTCGCTCGGCAGCAGGATGGATGAATTTGCCACCAAGAGTGAGGGCAAGCAGGCAAAAAGAAAAACCTTCCTTATCCCATGTCTGTCCATATAGGCTGCCACCAGGTGTGGCCTAGATTTAGGGTGGGTTTTCCCACCTGAAACGATTGATTGGGAAAACCCTCACAGGTGTGCCCAGCTACTTTGGTTTTAGTTCGGTCCAGATGTAGTTAAGTTGACAACCAACCTTAGCTGTCACGGTTGCATAGTGTTTGAAAGCTGATTAGTGAAGAGACTGACCCATGGTATATGGTAAAAAATAAGGCTAGAGATGGGAGTGGGGTCTGAAATTCATACTGAAGTTAGAATGTTTGTTCAAGGCAGGCAGGAGTCAGTGGTTGCCATGGTAAGGATTGATAACTACATTGGCTACAGTGTTGAGAAGACTGGAGTCAGAGAAAGCCAGGCTAAGAGGCTCCAAAGGCATGACGGTCAGAGATGGTGGCTTAGAGCAAAGTGCAGGGAAGTGTGTGAGGGTGAGGGAGAGAAGTTAATGCAGAGGAAGCTGATTGAGTGGTCAGTGTGGCATGAGGCTTGAGGCAAAGTGGCCTCCAGGAATCTAGGGAAGACAAGCGCCCACATCACTAAGCAAAAAGGGACAGACTTGAGGAAAACAGAAGTTATGTTGGCACTTACTGAGCTAAGGTAGCCTCAGGATTCCAAATGATGATGTTCAAAAGCCATTGTTACTTCTGGTCTGAAGCTTAAGGCGAATGTGTGCTGGAACCGCGGTCATCAGTCATAGAGTAATAGGGAGCCGAGGGAAGTAAGACAAGAGTACTGTGTGAGCATTCTGATGAAACACATCAGGGTCCACACCCTGATCTGCAGTGCCGCTGTACAGATCAGTGCTGCCTAAAGCAAGTGTGCTGTGAGGCCTGCCTGTGCTCATGATGCCTGTGCTCTGTGAGGCCTGCCTGTGCTCATGATGCCTGTGCTCTGTGAGGCCTGCCTGTGCTCATGATGCCTGCCTGAGCTCTGTGAGTCTGCCTGTGCTCTGTGAGGCCTGCCTGTGCTTATGATGCCTGTGCTCTGTGAGGCCTGCCTGTGCTCATGATGCCTGCCTGTGCTCATGATGCCTGCCTGAGCTCTGTGAGCCTGCCTGTGCCCTGTGAGGCCTGCCTATGCTCATGATGCCTGTGCTCTGTGAGGCCTGCCTGTGCTCATGATGCCTGTGCTCTGTGAGGCCTGCCTGTGCTCTGTGAGGCACTCAAGGTGGTTAGCTGGATAGAGTGCTGTCTAGACTCAAAATTGAACCTGTTTCATTATTACCCAGATCTTGTCCTAGGCTTCCTGGGCGTATGGTGACACTTGACCTCTAGTTGACATGGGAGTGTGAGCCCTCCTCATCTTTTTGTTTTGATTTCAGATAGCAGACTTCTGCCAGCGGAAAAATGAGCGCTCATTATATGACACGGAAGAACTTCCCGTTACAGAGCAGGAACTTCGGAAACTGAGAAATCCAGACACACAGCAGGAGCTGGAAGTAAGTTTACCAGTTCATTCATACGTGTGGGCATGACACCACAGCATGTGGTTCGTCAGTGAGCAACTTGTGGGAGTCAGTTCTCTCATTCCGCCTTCACCTACTGAGTCATCCTGCCACCCCAAGCAGTAAGTTTTTTAAATGCTACAGATAAATTTTCTTGGTCACCAGTTGGTTGAGGATTTGCTCTGTGGTTGTGTGAACTCTTGAGTGTGGGGTGCTGTTACACTGTGTTTACTGTTAACTACACGTGTGTTTATGCCATATGAGTGATGTCTGGAGCTGATGTGGAATCCCAGAAAAACAGATGTTGCTCAAGTGAGATGACAAAAAGGAAGTTAAATGATCCAAATTTCAATAGTATTTAGAGAAAAAGAAAAGTTGATTTTTTTCCTCCATCTGACTCAAATCCTTATTCCTTTCTCATTGTTTGGGCTTTGGGAAGTGATGGCAGGTTTGAAATCCAGATGAGATGAACATGAGGAAGCGTGTTTATTTGATCATGGTGAATGGGGTTTAATGAAATGCTTGTGTGTAGCATGCCAGCCATGTCAGGTGCTGTGCAAATGCACAGAGTAACCTGTGAGAGAGGTTCTAGAACATCCACTCTGCTGTACTGCACGGCATCTGTGTATGCTGGGTGAGGGGTCTGCACAGCCCTCTGCCATTCTGAGCTGGCTGAGGAACACATCTACCGTGGAGGGCTTCCAGGGAGACGCAGGTGACTAGTGAGGCGCTTCTGTGCTTTTCTGCTCTTCAGAGGTAAAGAGCAGAGGGACTGGAAACCGTTCATGTCTGTGTTCCCTGGCTACTATGAGCTCTGTTATAAACTGTTCATGGACAGTGCTTTGATTTCCTTTTAGGTGCTTGTGCGGTTGGAAGGTGGAATTGGTGTCTCTTTAATTAATAAAGTCCCAGAAGAATTGGTCTTTGCGAGCCTTACGGGAATCAACGTCCACTACACCCAGCTGGCAGCTAGTCACATGCTTGAGCTCAGCATACAGGATGTGCAGGTACCCGGATGAGGCTATTGTCTTCATGCCCTGTCTCCTCCATTCCAATTATGTGTGTATCTGTATGCGAATGTGCACACGAGTGCCAGCGTCAAGGAAAGACAGAGCAGCTTCCTGGGTCTTCATGCTCTGTCTCCTCCATTACAATTATGTGTGTATCTGTATGCGAATATGCACACGAGTGCCATCGTCAAGGAACAACAGAGCAGTTTCCTGGGATCTGAAGTTCGAGGCAGTTGTGAGACCTTCAACATGGGTGCTGGGAACCATACCCGGGTCCTTTTCAAGAGCAGCAAGCAATCTTAACTACTGCACCATCTCCAGACCCTGGAGGAAATTTCTTGTGATCTTCAAAAGAATCATCCTGTGAAGTAGCTTCCACCCCAATGTGTCTCACAAATTCTCTTTGTTTTGGAGATGGGATCTTACTGTGTAGTCCTGGCTGGCCTGTAACTTAACTGTGTAGGATCAAGTTGGCCTGACACAGAGATCTGCATGCCTCTGCCGCCTGAGTGCTGTCCTCAAAGGCATGGTCATTATTCCTGTCGATATAAATCAGAAGAATTCTAAATGCTCTAGCTGATGTATAAATAATCTAGGTAACTGATTGGCAGGGGATCAGTGGCTGGTCCATGCACAGTATACATGTGGAGGTCAGGGGACAAAGTCAATTCTCTCCTCCCTTTTTTACCTGGATTGTCAGGCTTGCATTGTCCGGCCATGTCACCAGCCTCGGGTTTCCCCATCTTAGCATCTTAGAAAAAAGAACCGAGTCACGTAGCCATTTCTTGGAGGAATTGGGGTCATTGTAGGGATAAACAGCAGGGTCTAAGATGGAGTAACTGAGATTGCCTTTATCCTCCTATGGAGATAAACCCTAAGTCCACATAGAACAACAACAGCTTCAGGACACTGGACATCGAACCACAAAGGACAGTGGCTGTTGAAAGATGGGAAATAAAAGTGGTAGACTGTATAACTGATTTAGCTTGAGAACTTTGCAGCCTATGGCGCTGGGAGAGGAGGCTGGAATGGGGCCTACAGAGTGGAAGTGTAGAGAAGACAGAACTGAGCATCCACAGGGGTTGACAGCTAAGTGGACAGTAGTGGACTTGTGGAGTGGCTAAAGGTTTGACAGAGTGCCAGTCTGTGTGAGGAAGACCAGAGAGAGAGAGAGAGAGAGAGAGAGAGAGAGAGAGAGAGAGAGAGAGAGAGAGAGAGCGGGCTGCTGCACTGGAACTCCAGAATTTGTGGGACATTGAGAAAAGTCTCAAGCACGTCCTGCCTCCATGGTTTATTTGCTCTAGATTGAATGCTGCTCTGACACTGTCTTGAAAATCATGAAAGGAAGATCTAAAAGGATCCTGGGAAATTGACTGTGTCCCCAACAAGTCTCATAATGTATTGGAGTGCAAACATGTCCAGCACACTATAAGGCAAAACTGACAGGTTCACATCCTGTTAGCAGCTGCCTTGTGTGTAGATGAGCAAAGCAGCACACTGTGAGGGCGAGAATACCTTCAGGGATGCCTCAGTGCTAACATAGTCATTAGAACATATTCAAACTGGAGTTCTGTGTGTTTAAAAAAATTCAGTAGAGACCCAGAAAACAAAAACCTGACTTCAAGAAATGAAAATGTCAGTGGATGTGTATAACACACAACCTGGACTCCAGTTGGCCTTCCAGGCCCATGGGCTCCATATACATAGACCTTTCTCCATATTATTGTTTCCTGAACAAAGCATAACTGCCGCTTCCATAGCAGTACATTGCATGAGGTCATGAGGTGCTGTAAGCCATTTAGAGACTGTAAAGTATACAGGAGGCCATGTGTAGCCATGTGCAAAACTGTTCTGTAGGCTAGAGCATCCATGGATTTTAGCTTGTGGGCATCTTGGAACCAATTCCCTGCCACTATGAAGTATCATGGTCAGGTTGCACAAAACCAATAGGAAAGTGAGTCATGGTTAAATATATTATATACAAAGGGACAAAGATAAGATGACAAAGATAATAGCAGATTTCTTGTTGGGAAAAATGCAAGTGAAAAGATTGTTAGCAATGTTAGTGTTGAAAGGGCGCAAAAAGCTGTCATTCTAGAAACTACTCCCAGAAGAAGTGTCTTTCAAAAATAAGGGTGTCTCAGTTCAGTGCTCTGTTGAGGTATAGAGACCACGATCACAGCACCGTTTATGAAAAAAAGCATTTAATTGGAGCTGGCTTCCAGTTTCAGAGGGTCAGTCCACTGTCGTCATGGTGGGGATCATGTGGCACACAGGCAGACATAGTGCTGGAGAAGTAGCCAAGAGTTTGACATCCCGAACCCCAGGCATCAGGCGGATAGTGAGACTGGGCCTGGTGTGAGCTTTTGAAACCGCAAAGTCCAGCCCTAGTGACAGACCTCCTCCAACTAGGCCACACCCTCCCAATCCGTCCCTGAACTAGGGACTAGAAGTTCAAATACAGGCACCTCTGGGCATCCTCATTCAAACCACCTCGAAGGGTAAAGCAAAGATGCTCTTAGACAAAGAAATGATAAGCGGATTTATCATCACTGACCTCAGCTTCCGAAAGCATTAGCGGGCATTAGTCAGCAGACAGAAGATGGTGCTGATGGAATTGGGATCAACACAAAATAGAGAAGGAAACCTGAAGTGATGGCATGATCAGGCTTCTCAGGTGAGTCTAGGCAAGCCCGGCAACTCTGCTGTGGTATCTGAACCACATAAAAGTGAGATGTTTGCCAGCAATGGCGTGAAGTCTGCAGGTGAGAAATGGAAGGGGAGCGTTGCAAGTTTGTACAATGTCATTTAATAGAGCAGCACATTGAGTTAGATACTGTAAAGCTCCCAAAATAGTGATAGTCGTATGTAATCAGTAAAGTGGAGTAAGTGCTTGACACAGAAGGCAGAAAATAAGGACCATAACGTGGGATGGATAGCAAGATGGCAGACAAAAACTTCATGATCGCAAATGCCACCCCCAAGGAACACACATTAGTAGGGCCTATAATGAGCATGGAGGCTGAGGCAGGAGGATCATGTGTTCAGAGTTAGCATGCACTACATAGTGAGACCTTGTCTCCACCCCCCACCCCCCACTTGTTAGCTAGAAAGACACAGATAGGTTAAAAAGGACCTGGGGTGGGAGAAGCACACTACACTTTTAGCTAGTCTTGAGGAAGGAAGTAGGAGTCACACTGATTAATGTCAGAACAAAGAATATTAGCAGAGATAAAGAAGGTAATTTCCTAATGATAGGAGAATTAATTAATCAAGAGGACATGACACATGCGAACACTGATACGCCTAATCACAGACTCTAGCCTTCTGACATTGTGACACCGTGTCATCTCCGGAAGCCTCACTTGAGAGCGGTGCAATTGAATTACAAAGAAAGAAACCGCAAGAAGAAAAAAGAGAAATCTCAGAATGTTTTAGTATGTTTCATGTTGCGTTGCATTTGTAGCTGTTCTTGGCTGCATATGGCTCAGAGCCTGAGGGTTGGACATACCTGATTAGAACTTCAAAATAAGCAGAAGAGAGCTCGTGAGATGGCTAGGTCAGTAAAGGCTCTTGCTGTCAGGCCTGCTGAGAACTGACCTCCACATGCACACACATGCTAACACCAATCAGGTGTGTGCTCAGCCTGGTGTATGCAGGGGTGAGCAAGAGACCTGTCTCAAACAAGGCACGGACTAACACCCAAGGTTGTCCTCTGACCTCCACACGTGTGACCACATGAACACACATCATACATACCTGCATGCATACACAGGCACAAAGGTTTAAAAAAACAGAAGAAATTGAAGGAGAGCAGTAAATACAAGCAACAAGGAAGAAAAAAACCCACTAAATGTCTGAAATCTATGAACTAGAATCTACGATTGTGGTAGAAAATAATTAGTGAGATCAAAAGTTGCCTTTGGGGTCTGGAGAGACAGCTCAGCCCCCGGAGCTTGCAGAGGGCCAAGGTCTCTGCTCTCTCACCTTCAAGGAGTTTGGAGTGAGGGAGAGGCATCAGTAACACACCAGTAAGAGCCCTGGACTAGATGCAACCAATTCTATCTTTGGTCAGCTTGAGCAAGGGCTGCCCTTTACTGTTCCACCAATAAACAAGCTAGGGACAGCGTGCTGAGGCCTGCACCCAGGCACTATGGTACGGTGACCAGCATAGTTCTAGGCACTGCAGGTTGTGATGTCTGGGGTGACCCAGTTTTGGACATGACAGGTCTACTCACCTGATGCATTAAGGGTTTTTTTTTTTTTAAATTTTGAAGTTACTTTTTAATTGGCAAATAATTGCCATCTATATGTGCTATATATGACATTTTAAATATGTGTATTTTGTACAGTGGTTAACTTGAGCTAACTTCTTAGTCTTCACTCACCTAAAAAAGTGTAACTCCCCTTGTCATTTCTATTATTACTGTGTTGTTATTGTCAGGAAAATTTCTGGTTATTTTGTGCATTTATATGTGTGTGTGTGTGTGGCACGGTGTGTGTGTGGAGGAGAGAATAGTCTGTCTCCTCCCTCCACCTAGATACTGGAGATTAAACTCAAGTCTGCAACCCTGCCAGCTAAGGCCTTTATCTGCTGAGCCATCTTGCTGGGCCTGTTATTTTTGAGACAGGGACTCAGTGTCTAGTGCAGTCTGGCCTCAAGTTCTTCTGCTTTGCTTTCCTAGAGCTGGGGTTACGGGTATATACCGCCTTGCCCATCATCATCATCATCATCTCCACTGCTCTTGGATGAGAGAGAGAGTGTGTGTGTATGTGTGTGTGTGTGTGTATGTGTGTGTGTGTGTGTATGTGTGTGTGTGTGTGTATGTGTGTGTGTGTGTGTATGTGTGTGTGTGTGTGTATGTGTGTGTGTGTGTGTATGTGTGTGTGTGTGTGTATGTGTGTGTGTGTGTGTATGTGTGTGTGTGTGTGTACTGGGGACTCTTTTACCTACATAGTATGAGGTAAAATATGACACTAAGCAGCTTGTTTTGTTTGTTTTTGTTTTGCTGTTTTTTCCTGTCCCAGGTGGATAACCAGCTCATTGGTACTACTCAGCCCTTCATGCTCTATGTGACACCCCTGAGCAATGAGAACGAGGTCATTGAGACAGGCCCTGCTGTGCAGGTCAATGCCGTGAAGTTCCCCAGTAAGAGCGCGCTGACCAACATCTACAAGGTGGGCTGGCAGGGAGGCTGCGGGCGATGGCTTGTAGGAGGCACTCTTGCTCTCTCAGAGCCAGGTTACAGAGCAAGCAGCAGCAGCACGGTGTGTGTACAAAGGTGGCTCTCAGGGCCGAGCCCCGTGCGGCTTGTCTGACCGCTGAGGGAAATGTTAGGAGCACTTTTTCTTGGCACTCTTGTATCCTAGTTGTGTTTTCAGTGACCTTGTAGCTGAACCCACGGAGGCCAGAGCCTTCATTCCTGAGTGAAGCAGTATCCTGTAGGCTGCTGCCATCTGTTAAGGGTTTGAGTAGGCTGGAGGTACTTCTGAAGTGCTGTGAGGGTCTGACTTTGGAACAGACAACATGCTATGCAAACTTCCATGCTTGTCCTATCAGCAGAGAGTTACAAATGAGAGCTCTCTCTGACCTAGAGGGGCCCCAGGTAGAAGCCGGCTGTGATAGCGGCAAGCTGCAACATCGGGAGGCCTCAGTCTAGTCCTTTGTTACCAAGGCTGATGGGGCCAAGTCTACCTTGAGCCCTCCACCATAGACTAGTTAGCTGTCCTCTCACTGGTGAGGCCCTGGGGACCAAGCAGAAGGATGGCCAAGTGTCTCCTGAGTCCCTGGAGTTCTGTTCACTGTAACGAGACAAAGAGAAGTGAGCCACATGTTCATTAAATCACACAGGCAAAGAAGCCTTGAACCAGGGTCTTGCTGTGCTGCTCAGGCTGATCTGGAACTCCTGAGCTCAAGCAAACCTCTTGCCTCAGCCTCCCTTAGTAGCTAGAACTGTAGTGTCACCATGGCTACCGCCCTGAGGCCTGCTTAATGGCACATACGAAATCTGCTTTGGCGATTGCCTATAAACTGGACTTTCTTTCTCTCTAGCATCTCATGGTCACGGCCCAGAGGTTCACAGTACAAATCGAGGAGAAACTGCTGCTCAAGCTACTAAGTTTCTTTGGCTATGACCAGGCAGAATCAGGTAAAGCTCAACATTCTACACTTCTGCCCGAGATGGGTACACAATGATGGGTTAGTCTGTGTGTAAAGTGCAGGTGGTCATTCCCTAGACGCTACCCAAGCTGGCTCTGCCTCTTACCCTGAGCTAGCAAGCTCAGGTTTGCAGTCCAGCAGCTCCCTTTCCAAACCTGCTTATTGTCTGAGTCATGTCCTCAAGCTAGTCTACAGAGAGGGTCATGGTACCCTGCAGTGTTGGCAGCTAACTAGGAAGCCTTATACCCTGCTCTGTGCTTTGCAGGTTCTGTTCCCTGCTCCCATCGGTTAGCAGAAATCAGCTCAGGGCCAAGGTTTAGAAAGGCCTTTTAGCTGGCCGCTTTGGTTTAGTTTGAAAAACAAAAACTGCCTAACCTCTATTACTGGCTTTTGACATCTGTGCCCCTAAGCCTTAATGTCATGACAAAGGGTTCTTGTTGCTGTCCTCTGGTCTTTGCAGGGGGAGTTAGATTGCTATCACAAAGTGTAAATTTCCTGCAGTGCTGGAGGGAGAGTTCAGCTGTTGTGGCTTTAGCTTGCTCCTCACAGCCCTTTCTCTTGCTTTTAGGTGACTACTTAAGGCTACAGCTAAGAAAGAAGCCAATGTTGCACTATCTTTCTCGAGACTTCTCTCTCTCTCTCTCTCTCTCTCTCTCTCTCTCTCTCTCTCTTCTCTCTCTCTGTGTGTGTGTGTGTGTGTGTGTGTGTGTGTGTGTGTGTGTGTGTGTGTACCTGTGGAGGCCAGAAGAGGGTATGACTCCCCTGAAGCTGGAGTCATACGTGGGTGTGAGCTGCCCATTGTGGCTACTGGGAAGTGAACTCAGGTCCTCTAAAAAAGCAGCAGCGCTCTTAACTGTGTGTGTGTGTGTGTGTGTGTGTGTGTGTGTGTGTATACCTGTGGAGGCCAGAAGAGGGGTCAGATCCCCTGAAGCTGGAGTCATACGTGGTTGTGAGCTGCCCATTGTGGCTACTGGGAAGTGAACTCAGGTCCTCTAAAAAAGCAGCAGCGCTCTTAACTGCTACATCATCTTTCTAGCCACTTGGCTGGTTTTTTGTTTGTTTTGAGACAGTCTGTCTCATCATTCAGTGCCTTTGCCTTTTAAAAGCTAAACTGAAGAAATGATGGTAAAGAGGTGTTTGGGCTTGTCTGCATTTGTCTGCCGTGTTGGCTAGAGGGAAAGTGTATATGCACACCCTCTATGCAGCAAAAATAGTTTTGTGTTTGTATGCTCGATTTAGAATTCAGCTCAAATCTCAAGCCCCACAAATAAAACAGAATGAAGCTCTAGGAGTATTTAGGATTGTCTAGGGAGTCTGCTCAGTGTTATAACATGTAGGGAGCTCGTATGAGGTGCTGTGCTGAGTCCTTAGTGCCTCAAAAAGAAAGAAAGTAAAACAGTTTTGGAGACAAGCATTTGGGAGGAAGAGCAGGGCCCCGTCTGTCCAGTGCCGTGCTCTCCCCTTGCCTTGAATTCTGGTTTATTTGGAGTCACACAGCCACCTGAGTGCCCAACAGCTAGGCAGGCTGGCTGGCGGGCAGGTGGGCGTTCTGTTTGTCCCCTCCCCAATAAGATTCAGTTCAGGTTTCATTGGTCCTGCTTTTCTGTGTTCTCCTAAGTCCCTCTTGGACATCTCATACTGCACTGCACAGAACACTCAGGCTTTTGTAACGACCTTGTCTGCCTTTCTTTACTCTTCCTCCACTTTCAGTAGCCAGTTGTTTCCTGAGTGTGGAAGGCAAGTCTTCCTTGGAGCATCCTTGCTTGGAGTAGAACTGCTAACAGCTTTGACTGGGAATATGCTAAGTAGCTGTGAGCATTGTCTCTGGTTTTCCTCAGGATCCTGCTGCCTGAGTGGATGCATGTTCTAGCCCATGTCCCTCCTCTGTGCTATGCCTTGACTGCCCTATTTGGGAGACTCCCACTGCTGGGGAGGATGTTGCTGGGGAGGTTGCTGACCCAGCTCTCTCTCAGGAATGGGGTTGTTCACAGTATTATTTCCATTCTTGAGAGGATCCTCTTTGGTTTAGCTGTACTGCACTCTACATTCATATGATCTGGATCATAGGTACTAGTAGTGACAATAGTAGTTCTGAAAAGTGTGTGGCCAGCAAATGAACCTGTGACCTTTGGCTTTCCAAAATGCTGTCTGCTGGGTGGCACAGAGTCACAGGTTAAGAGATGGTGATAATCTAATCCAATATACATTGGATAACCTACGTAAAAACCTGCTTTTATATAGAAATGGCATCTGGATACTGTATGCATTGCTGAGCCCACAAGAAACTAAGAAAGTGAGATCCCTACGTTTTGTTTGTATAGATTTTTTATGTGAGGTCACACATGTTTGAATAATAATGCCAACAGCTTTTGGTTTTGTTTTTTACTGCTGCCTTTCTACCAGAGGTGGAAAAATATGATGAAAACCTCCATGAAAAGACAGTGGAGCAGGGGGGGACCCCAACTCGATACTACTTTGAGAATCTCAAGATCAGCATCCCCCAAATCAAGTTGAGTGTGTTCACTTCCAACAAACTGCCCCTGGACCTCAAGGTGAGCTGATAGCTGCATGCTCTGGGAGGATGTGTTGATTATTCACTTTCTCTGACTGGAATTAGCAGCCATTGCATCCTTTTGGTACCTTTCCTTTCACAGATGTTCATTAACTCACGTAGTAATCTTTTTGCCTAACATTTGGTTATAACTTTGCTAAAGATCAAGGCATTACTAAGCAGGATCAAACAGGATGATGCAACACCCATCTACTCTTTGGAAAGCTCTAGGCTTACCTCAGAGCTGTAGAAACCTCTTTCTGGGCTTGGCCTGAGTTTTAACTGAGACCAAGACAGTCTTTCTTGAACCACCACCCAGGTCTCTGTTGCTCTTTTTGTTTGTTTGTTTTTTGTTTGTTTTGTTTTTTTCGAGACAGGGTTTCTCTGTGTAGCTTTGGAGCCTATCCTGACATTCGCTCTAGAGACCAGGCTGCCCTCAAACTCACAAAGATCCGCCTGCCTCTGCCTCCCGAGTGCTGGGATTAAAGGCGTGCACCACCAAAGCCCGCTCTGTTGCTCTTTTCTAAGCATCCGTTTCTGCTATGATAGCTGTTAGAGGGAAGCTCTGCCATCTTCAAGGGAGACACGCTATAAGCTGAGAAGTGGCCTTGCCCAGCTTAGGATGTAGCCCTCCTACCAACCGTCTGATCCATAGTTGTCAGTCAGAGCCTCAGCACCACCTTCATTCTTAGTAGCAAAGCTTATTTTGAGGAAGGGAGAAGGCTGGCATTCAAATCCAAGTCTATGCCACATCTGGGTTCCCCACTGTACTGTGCCCCACCCCCTCCCCGCAGAAGAGGATGCTGTTAGACTGCACCTCCTCTGTGGTGCTGAAGTTCACTGATTTGTGTCTTCATCCAGTGTGGTAGCAAGGTGATGCTGGGCGCAGGATAGGGGCAGGTGGCTGTTGAAATGCCTTTCCTTGCTTTGACTCTAAATCTGCCTTCTCAGACTGGCAGTCATTGCTTCTGGTTCTTCCGTGTGACGTGCTTGAAGACAGTTGTCCATCCCCCCTGCCCACCGCACACTGGGTTTCTGCACTGGCCTTCGATGCCTTTCTCTTAGGAGATCCGCAATCTCTCCCTGGAGCGCCATCTAGATAGCGGATAAGCCGTGAGCCTGCAGCGTTGGGTTCAGAGCCCAGGCAGGTTAGGATGCAGGTCCGTCTTGGGGTGCAGGGGGCCTTCAACCTGAGGAACAGTTGCAAGAGGAGGGGCAGCACAGCCCCAGTGCAGCCCCTTGCTGTGGATGGGGGAGTGTCAACCCAGTGCTGCCAAGTGTTCAGGTTTTTAAAGAATGGCTTGAAATCTGCATTTTTATATGGAATCTCCTGGTTTTTAAATGTTGGCAACCAGTTCACATTTTTAAAACAACAAAACAAAACCAGCCTTGTGGGCCTGACAGAACACATGTGTGGGCCTCATGTGCCACAGCCTGCCAAGTCTCAGCTTCTAAAATAGACCTGTAGGTGATGAGACAGCTGTCTGCTCAGCCTCAGGCTTCAGTGACTGCAGACAGGGGAGCACCAGCAGGGTCCAGGGGCAGCATCCTGGGAATTGTGGCGCTGTACCCTGCTCCTCTCACTGCCCTGCTGCTTCCTCTGCCCTAATGTGTTTCCCAGGAGGCCCGAGATGCTTATAATTAGCCAGGGAGTGAGGGGAAAACCATGGGAAAACTACTGTCTTGCTAATATCCACAAGTATCCACTTGACTTTTGTGACCTTTGGAATGGGTTTGTTTGATAAAGTCTGTTCCCCCAGAACACTTGGCTCTCACCCAGCAAACCAATGCTAAGCATTTCCTGCAAGTGGAAGACTTCTTGATTTAAAATCATCTCGTTAAAGAGCACAGACAACCCCCCCCCCCAGCCTTCCTCTCAGAGTGCTCCCAGCAGAAGTGCTTGGTGCCTAGTCCTGGAGTGCCGATGCCATGTGTGCTCTGCAGTCCTGGGGTACCGATGCCATGTGTGCTCTGCAGTCCTGGGGTACCGATGCCATGTGTGCTCTGCAGTCCTGGGGTACCGATGCCATGTGTGCTCTGCAGTCCTGGGGTACCGATGCCATGTGTGCTCTGCAGTCCTGGGGTACCGATGCCATGTGTGCTCTGCAGTCCTGAGCTACCAATGCCATGTGTGCTCTGCAGTCCTGGGGTATAGATGCCATGTGTGCTCTGCAGTCCTGGGGTTCTGATGCCATGTGTGCTCTGCAGTCCTGGGGTACCGATGCCATGTGTGCTCTGCAGTCCTGGGGTACCGATGCCATGTGTGTTTGGTCTTTCATGTTGACTCTTGACACTCTGTTGGAGGACTGTTTTCAGAGTACCATTAAGCAGATGCCATGGTACACCTGTATTTCAACAGGGTGTTGGGAATTGGGACTTCAGAGTTAGCTCCGAGCCCATGGAAGTCACATGTTGCCCTACCTTGAGTGTTCCTCCTGGAGTCTGGGACTAATATCATTGATTCAGAGTTTCCTAACAAAGTAGCAGCCCTTTATTAGGAGCTCTTAGGAAGGGCAATTCGCTCTTTCTGATGAATATGGAATCACTAAAAACATGTGCTTAGGAAATGAAGCCTTCTCCCTGAACAGCAGCGGCAGGAGTCTGACTCAAAGGTAAGCCTGTCTTAGTATTGAAGGAACAATTGCTTTCATTCTCTGGATTCCCAGGCTGGAGTGAGGCTGTCAGAAATCTCAGAGGGGGGCCTTTCCAGGTTTACACTGAGGCACATTGTTGCTAGATACAGTGTCTGTCTGGAGACTTAAAGGCATCCACACTGCCCGGATAGTTCAAGCCCATCTACAAGAAGGGACGTTAATATTCCATTTCATAGAGACTAGGACACCGCTGCCCTCCCTCACTCCATGCTCTGTATGGAATTTGCATGTTAGAGATGCCCTGATCATATTGAAAACCCAGGTAGCTTTTATATGGGGGTTTCCCCAACTCCTTTAAAGATCAAAAGAGACCAGGGGGTCTCTAAAAGGTTTCAAAAGGTGGCCTACAGCAGGCCTTTTCCCATTTAGAGCATTGGGGTATAACAAAAGAAAGACCTTAATTGAGCAATCTAGTTTGGAAGAAAACCCACACTTTAATGGTCAGAGAGCGAGCGGGTGGGGGTAAGGGGGGAATTTCAAACAAAGACACTATTTAAAAAGCCTAAAACTGTCTTCTCAAAGGCTTGAAATAATTTGTTGGGAAACTTCAGACCCTTTACTTTTTCCTCCCCTCCCTAAATGAAAACCAGATTTGTTAAAAGGGAAAAAGGTCCAGTGTTGTTACTGTGTTTCAGAAAGTGCCAGAGAGGGAAGTAGCCCCGTAGCTTTAAACACTGTCCCCAAAGGGAAATGGGCAAATACCCTGCTCCACATAAACAGTCTCTGTGTGCCATAAATAAACCTTTAGAGAATGAATTCCAGACAGTTTTGTTTAGTGGGAGATAAACTAAGAAAGGAAAGGACAAGGCCCAGAGACTAGCTGTGATCTGAGGCCTTGTGGACAGGTATTTCTTCTTTCAACTCGGCGCCCGGTCTCTGGAAGGCTTCAGCCGTTTTGTTTGGGAGGTGGGAGTGGACAGTTTCCTATTTTATTAAGAACTTATGAGCACAGGGCTGCTTTCTCCAGAATCCATTTTATAACAGGAAACTGCTACTTGAGTAAATAAGTGTCAGCGCCGAGTCCTACTGTATGTGACCAGCCACTGGATTCTTCAGGAGGGAGCAACCCTGTTTGGCTTTCTTTCCTGTTCATGCCTTCTCCTTCCACTGACCACATCAGCCTGAAGGTGGCGGAGTCATTCAAACCAACAGGCTGGCACTGTGCCTTTGCAAATAAGGGACCTGGGGCAGTAAATGACTAGGTGAGGACAGTTTCACTTCAGGCTGGGTACTTCCTTGGTTCCAGGGTAGATGGTGTCTGCTGTGAGGCCTTGGCAGCCTAGTAGAGGTCAAAGGTCCTTGCGGCAGTGTACCAGTCAAAGAATCTTTAATGTTAGGTTGCAATGAGGAAGTTGTGTTTTTTGTTTTTGTTTTGTGTTTTGTTATTGTTGTTGTTGTTGTTTGGTTTTTTTTTTAAAGCTTTCTTCCCTAAGCTTTTGTCTAACATTTCTTTCTTTCTTTCTTTTTTTTTTTTTTTTTTCTGAGAAGAAAGTAAGACCATGTGCCCAGGGTTCAGTCCCTTTCATAGCGTGCTTGGCCTGGGGCTTGGAATGAAGGAGTTAAGCTGGTTGACCATCAGTTTTTCTGCCAGTGAACTGAGGGAGTTCAGGCATGCGCTCTTGGGTGGCGGGCATGGTGGAATGAGTGGTAGAGAGTTTTGAGAAGAAACATAGATATATTTTTAAGTGGGCCTCTCTGGCTTGTGTGCTTTCTATCAAATAGGTAACTGCTGTTAAAAACAGCACATCCAAGTCTGGGATCTGCTCATGACTTTAGGTCATGCCCTTAACATATCTTCAGTTTGGGTAGGAGGAAGGGTTAGGCTGGCCTTAAGTTTAGTCTGTACCCTGCCTCAGCCTTGAAGGTGTTAGAGTAAGAGGTGTATGCCACCACGCTAGCAACTTAGTTCTTGGTCCCTAAAGTTCTTCCTTCTGATATTCCCAGTGACATTTCATGGTACCAGGGCAGTGTTCTTCCCTGGTCTTTGTCTCTATCTGATCCTCTGCTGTTTGGTGTTGGACTCTGTTTGTGCCGTGTTTCTTTCTTCTGCCATTGCTTCTGGATCTTTTTTGGTGGTTGTTGTTTGGTTTTTTGTTTGTTTTGTTTTGTTTCGTTTTTGTTCTTCTCCATGATAAGTGCTTGGCTTAATTCTATGAACTGTCTGGTCCTAGCACTGGCCAGGTTCCTGTCAGGTTATTGCTTTTTTATATCTTCTCATTTTACAAACTCTTTATAAAAGCCTTGTCTTTGATGGAAGTAACAGGCGTTTTCAGAGTTTAATTTGTCCTTTTATCTGGCTGTGCGTGTTCAGGCCCGCGTGTATGTACAGGCCAGAAGACAACCTTACACGGTGTTCCTCCAGAGCTGCTCCCCTTGTGTGTGAGATAATGTCTCACTGACCTGGGGCCTGGCTGATTAGGGTAGACTGGCTGGCCTGCAAGTCCCAAGGACCTGCCTGTCTCTGGATATCAAGTACAAACCACTATGCTTCTCTCTCTCTCTCTCTCTCTCTCTCTCTCTGTGTGTGTGTGTGTGTGTGTGTGTGTGTGTGTGTGTGTGTGTGTGTGTAGAAAGGCTTTTGAAAACACAGCAAAGTACATGGGAACATCCATTTGTGTAATATGAAAATCAGAAAAGCCCAGTCTGTGGAGGGAGGGAGGAACGGGTAAAGGGAATCTGTGTAGAGGGCAGTTCTGCTTGCTCTCCTACCTGGGGACTGCAGCAGTGACTCACTTAGTGGCTGTAAGCACTGTAAGCAAGAGGACTGCAGTTGTGATCCTTACAACCCCACATGAAATGATGAGTCGGCTTGGCATCCTACCTGTAGTTCAGGTTTTGGAAAGCACAGACGAGATCCCTGGAGCAACCTGGCTATTGAGACTGGCTCTGGGAGCTCTGGGTTTGAGACACCCTGCCTCAAAAGAAGGTGGAGGAGAGTTGAGGAAGATTCAATCTCAGCTCTGCATTCAGCACATGTGCACACTCTGTGCCCATACACAGACGTGTGCACCCCACACGGGAACAGGAAAGTGAAGATGAGAGGTGGAAATGCTAAGAAAAAAGAAAACAAATCAAGTATTGGTTGTGATGATCCAGTGTCCCTGTGCAGTTTACACCAGTTAAAAAGGAGAACTAGGCAAACACAGGTTTCAAACAGACTGGGAGGAATTCTGCTGTGCGGCCAACAGTGTTTGCTGCTGTAATGCTGAGATGTGTGTGACTTTGGGTAATGGATTTATATGACTTCTTTTTTCTGTTGTATTTTACTTTTGTAATTGTAGGGGTAATCCTTATATCTAAATGTTAATATATAACTCATAGTTTGTCGTGGATTCTAGAATTATAGAAACCCAGGAAATCATCTTGTGTCTGAAGTCTGTAATTTCCTTTCTTCCCTAACTAGGCCCTGAAAAGCACCCTGGGATTCCCACTCATTCGGTTTGAAGATGCTGTGATCAATCTGGACCCATTCACTCGGGTGCACCCCTATGAGACCAAGGAGTTCATCATCAATGACATCCTTAAACACTTCCAAGAGGTGCGGATGCAGAAGGGAGGGCTGGAGAGGAAGGGCCAGCCAGGGCCAGGCAGTTTTGTGTTACTAAGATGTCACTACCAAGACATGTCATAGCTCTGCCAGTCGTGGGTCAGGTCATGCCTCCCACCTCCCTCGTAGATATCCTGAGAATCCTAAGGCTGACTTATGAGCTGTTTGTCTTTTTCCTCAGGGCCAGTCCCAGGGGCTTCCCTAGGTTAGTCACAGGTCTCAATGGCTTAGTTGATGCTTCTACTGTGAACTCTTTATGTATGTACCAGGCATGGCCTGCTTTCAACAACTACACCACTGTTCTTAGTGCTTCTGTGATCTTGACCTTGAGTTGAACTTGACTTTTTTTAAAAGCCAAACTGGACATTTTCCATTTTGTATTTTTCAATCTAGACTGAATAGCCCCAAATATAGCCTTTAATGGATCATCATATAATACAGAATTTGTTGGTTTCCACAGTCAGAGCTTACTCATTTCCTTCCCTAACTGGAGCTATTTCCCCCTCTACCTCTAGGGAGGTGCACAGCAGGTACTCCTGGAGCCAGGCCTCAGGCAGGCAAAGGGTCCAGTGGGGATTTGCTGGCCAAGCCAGGCTCCCTCTCTCCTCCCATGCTCCAGCTGAGCCTGCCCTCCAGAATCACCCTTCCTTGCTCCTGCCGGATTCATCCAGCAGGGATGGTGGGACGGAGAGTATGATGCTGTTCATAAACACCCCAAAGAATCTTTCCAGTCTCACAGCTGGCTGCTTTTATTCTCCTGACTGGCCGGGAAGCATATTTTTTAGTGTATTGAAAACAGTCCCCAGTGTGTGTGTTGGGTGAAGTTTAGGGGCATTCATGAGAGCACAGTAGGTCATTGGTGGGTGAAGATTGAAAAAGTCATTCATTGTTGACAGTCCTGGAGGATGAGAGACCCCTAACCTCTTCTTGGGCACACTAGCACTGACGTGGCTTTCCTCTCCCATTCCACCCCACAGGAACTCCTCAGCCAGGCAGCTCGGATCTTAGGATCAGTAGACTTCCTCGGCAATCCCATGGGTCTCTTAAATGATGTTTCTGAAGGGGTCACTGGACTGATAAAGTATGGAAATGTTGGGGGCCTCATAAGAAACGTTACCCATGGAGTGTCAAATTCTGCTGCCAAGGTAAGGGAATGCTGATGGAATCATGTGATGAAATCCTGGCCCACTAGACTTTCATTGGTGGATGGCTGGCCTGGAGAGGCTGCAGTCACTGCCTCTTGCTGCAATGGTTTGCCGGCCTCTGCTGTAGAGGTCAGTGAGCATGCTTCAAATCATGTTTCCTTCCCCTCTCCTGGTTCTGCAGCTTGCCTGCTTGGTTCTGTAGGTAGTCACCTGACCCCTGGGCTTCGTTTATCATTCCCAACACCAACAGAATGAACTAGCTTTTTGTAAACATGAAATTGCAGGGTTGAGGTTGTGGCTCAGTGGGAGGGCACTTAACCTATCATGTCCAAGGCCGTGGGCACCTTCACCTTCCTTAATACAAAGTAACACTCCCCAAACCAGACAGTGTGAATTGAGCTACACCTTCTGTCTGACATTTGCCAACTGATCCCCACACCTCCATGGAAAGTCTGAGATAAATGGGCTTCAACAGTATAGTGGCTCTCCAAGCTATGTGAGTCTAGCTGTGGGAGGACAATGTGGCTGTTCTCCTGTGTTTTGCAGTCCAGTGACCTCGAGTCATTGGCATCTTGCTTGGTGGGCATTATGATGGCCTATTGTTGGGTTCTGTGTGTGAAGGTGGCCAAGTGCAGAGCTGTTCCATGGCGCTGTTCCATGGCATAGGTGAATTGTCTGAGAGCCCATCTTGTTCCCAGAAAGCCTCTCTCCTTTCTGCTCCACCATCTGTTCATATGGACACTGTCCTGTTGTTCATGAAGGAAGCCTGCGAAGCACTTTTGGGTACCTGCTGCTCCTTCCTATAAGTGATTCCTGTGTGGCCCAGGGCTGCTGGGAAGAAAAGTGGCTATGGCAGGGCGCCCCCACCCCTCTACTTCACCGTCTGCTGTGGAGCAGGTGGAAAGGACAGTTGGATAGTTTTTCTGTTTTGTATTCGTTCCTGTTTGTAGGTTGTGTGAGACAGGGAATGGGTGTCTTTTTCCAGAGTGTCACCAGGGAGGACGGTCTCTCTTGAGTCAGTGACTCTGAGGCTGTGGTGTTTCTGAGTCATAGCAGAAGTGTTTGTGCTATGGTTCAACACAAACAAGTCTTGATTTCAGAAGAAGAGAAAGAAGAAGGAGGAAGAATATTTTAGAGAATAACTTGGAAGTAGGTAAAGTCATCTCTTCGGGAGTCTTTCTTATGTTGCCCTGGGCCATGTACATCACAGTGTATCGCAGCTCAACGTCTAAGCCCTTCATCTAGCTCCTCGACTCCATGTCAGCAGATACTCTGCAACATTCTGTTGTAAACACTCCGCTTAAAGCTTTTTATTAAATTTTATTGGAAATCATACTTTATAGTGTCATTGCTTTTGCATAAGGGACTTTCCAGGCCGGAGTCGCTTGACTGCAAACCTTGTTAATTGTGTCAGCATGTTTCATGAGTTCATCCTGTCTTCGGTAAGCTGAACAGTATTAGGGTCACAGGCTACTGATGGAAATTGCTTTCTAATTTATTTTGGTAAACCCTGGGCTTGTTACTAAAAAATTAAGTCCATCTAGGTGCAAGATGAGAAAGCTCCGTCTTGATACGGGCTGATCTGTCTGCCAGACCATCTTTGCTGCTGCTGTATGTGTGACTGGGCTAAAAGCTCTCCAGCCTCAGTATTTGGGGGTTGAAACCAGACCTTCAGGGTTGCTGTGCTGAGCTCTTTTGTCTGTGTCTCTGCATACATGAGGGAGTTTAAGGAAGTGCAGAGGATAGCCTGGGCCTGTGAGGGAGTAATTAGAGTGCTGAGTTCCAGTGAGGAAAAGGGCAGAAGCTGGCCCTGCCCCTCACTGAGCCGCTGTCAGCCACCCGCTTTGCGCTGGTATTAAAGTCGGTTTGTTTGTTGTGATTTGGACAAAGTGCTGGTAGTTCTGTGGCATTGTTTTTTTTGTTTTTGTTTTTTGTTTTTTGTTTTTTGTTTTTCAAGACAGGGTTTCTCTGTGTAGCCTTGGCTGTCCTGAAACTCACTCTGAAGACCAGGCTGCCCTGGAACTCACAGAGGTCCATCTGCCTCTGCTGGGACTAAAGGCGTCCGCCACCACTGCCCAGCAGTTCTGGGTGTTCTTGATGCCAGCAGCATTAAGAGAGAAAGGTGCTGGTGTAGGGACAGAGCAGAGCACAGCCGTGTGGCTCACACTGTCCCTTGCAAACACCTACTGAATGTTCTCTGTATGTCAGGCCAGTGACAGAAGCCCTTGTCACACACTGCCATGTGGTTAATCTCTACCCTGCAAATCAGGAAGCCAGGCTTAAAGGACTTGGAAACATTTTCAAGGTCAAGTAACTAAAAATGACTGGGTTGGACTTGATTGAAGTCCAACTCATTCTAAACCCCCCCCCCCAACAATATCTCCCCTTGTGTGTGTAAAGTCCTTTTTCAGGCACTTTAGAGAGTACAAAGTATTACAGCTGCTGGCTTCCCACTGGAAGCTTGTTGCTGGTCACAGCCATTGCTCTGTTAGCTGGTGAGTCTGGGGCTGTCCTGTCCCCTTTTGTCCTCTCACCAGTGAGCCTGAGAGCTGAGTGCTTGCAAATGTGACTCTGGTCTGGTGACATTTGTGTCCCTAGGTAACCCAGCCACATTGGGCATTGTTAATGTGTCTATGAAGGGACTAAAACTCAGAGGTGAGGACTAACCCTAGTTAGCAGATGGCTGTCGCTTTACCTTTCCTGGGTCACTCTTTCTTTTTGAGAATTGCATACGTTGCTACAATGTATTTTGATCATATCCATCCACCACTTCCTCTTCCAACTCCTCCTAGTGGCTCCACTTTGTTTCCCTCCCAACTTCCGTTCCATCCCCTTTGTTGTTGTTATTAATAGTCCCCTGAGTACAGTCAAAGTCTAGCACTCAGGAGGCTGAGGCAGGAGGATATGAGTTTGAGGCCAGCAGAGGCTGCTGAGTTGAGATGCTGTCTCAGAAACCAAACCAAATCAAAGTGAGGCCTGCACTCAGCATGAGCAACACTGAAGATCAGTATGGGCAGGGGTGGAACGAGACTGGCCTTGGGTGACGTCTGCAGAGTCCAGCTGGGACCCCAGATGATGTTTTCTCCCCCTTCCTCGCTTCCCATTTGGGGCAGCAGTGCGCATTTGAGCCATTCATTCCCCCTGCACTGGCCCTCTGTCCCAGGAAACCAGATCTGGGACATCTCAGTCATCAGTGGACTTTCCTAGTCCAGAGCTGCTTGGACAGGCCCTGCTCCAGCACCAGCCTCATCTGCTGTGGCCTTGCAGCAGGCAGGGCAGCCCAGCTGCCTTTTGTTTAGGAACTATCATTTGTTTGTGTTTGTTTTGCAGGCAGTGTATTTATAAGGCTCAGATGAGACTAACGCACTGTTTATTCAAGGAGAAAGTTAGATCTTCGCACAAAAGAATGTTCTGTGTGGATTCTGAAGGGGTACAGCAATTTATGACTCGTGTCTGTTTTTGTCATTACGTGTGACTGTTGCATTTTATTGTCGAGCTGATTATCCCCATAATAGCTTTTCCATGTACCTATAAGCGAGACTAGGTGGACGACTTCTCATAAGCATTGGGTTTTACTGTGCTTAAGTTGGCATGGTTTTAAGTTGAGTGAGATTTGCTTCAGACAGTTATCTACCCCTTAGAGAATGGAGGATTTTCTCTTTTCAAAAACCCTTTGATCCTGTCACCTGAAGGATTCCTTTTCTGCCTCACATGGGTATGTTCCGCTTGTCACATGTGGATAAATTACTCACATGTCTGGCGTCAGAATTTTCGTTTTAATTTCCCTCTAATTCCCTTAGTTTAAATTCCGTGTAGTTAGAGGGAGTTTTCTGATGCGGACTGCCCCATCCTAGGTCAGGCAAGTCTTAAACATCTGGGTGGTCAGAAGAGCCTTTTTGGCACAGGGATGTAAGTGGAGTGGTAGCATGGGAACCCCAAGTGGCCGAGGTTCCCAAGGACAGCTTTGGCATTTCTCTCCTTCAGCAGAGGAGGCTGCTCCCCAGCCTTGCAGAAAGTAGATGACAGCCCTACATTTCCTAGCGTTGTCCAGTCGGGAGTGGGCTCCTGAAGCTGTCTTAGCAGTGAACAGCACACAGTTCAGAGACTTTACCTCACCACCGAGAGGTACAGCCGCTTGGTGGAAGGGCGTGAAGCTGAATAGATCAAAGAGAAAAAAGGCTTCCCCAAAGCAGCTGGCTTTCTTTCTAATGCAAAGATGGCTACTGAAAGAAAGGCTTAGGAATGCACTTTGCTGTCCTTCATTTCAGGGGCTTTCTATCTGATACAGAGGGGGCTACTGAAAGAAAGGCTTAGGAATGCACTTTGCTGTCCTTCATTTCAGTTTTTGGTGTCCCCTACATATTGTGACAAATGAGTTGGCATGATCTATACTCAATCTTTACAAAGTTCTATTATTATTATTATTATTATTATTATTATTATTATTATTATTGGTTTTTCCAGACAGGGTTTCTCTGTGTAAACCTAGCTGTCCTGGCACTCGCTATGGAGACCAGACTGACCTCAAACTGACAGAGATCCACCTGCCTCTGCCTCCCGAGTGCTGGGATTAAAGGCGTGCGCCACCATGCCCAGCTGATTTTTACAAATTTCTGAAGGACACATCAACTAATTTTGACAGCTGAAGATGTGTCTGGAAGATTCTATTTTCCTTGAGTTCTTTCTCCTTTATAATTGTCGAAGTACTTTTTTGGCCAATATCATAGTTAAAAGTCACAATGTGCAACCTGGCTGTGGTCTTCACACCCCTTTCCTGGTGCGGATCAGCTGAATTGTAACTTCTCGGTGTTACTTGACTACTTTCTAGGCAATTAGGTTGTCATTTTAATATTAACATTGAAGGACTGGAGGAGGGACTGAGCAGCTAAGAGCACTTACTACTCTTGTAGAGGACTTGAGTTCAGTTCCCAGCTCCCACAGGATACTTCACAACCTCTTTAATTTTAGCATCAAGGGATCTGACACCCTCCTGTGGCTTC